CCCGCCTCGGCCTCCCAGAGTGCTAGGATTACAGGCGTGAACCACCTCGCCCGGCCCCATTCTTCCTTTTTTCGAAACAAACCCAAATATACAAAAAAGTTGCAACACAGTACAAAGAACCTTTTTCTTCCTTTCTTGAACGATTGAGAGTAGTTACTGACTTAATATCCCATCATCCTCAAAATTTTAGTGGGTATTTCGTACAAAAAAGGGGCATTCTCCCAAATAACCAAAGTACAACCATCAGAATCAGGATATTAGTCATACAAATTTTGTCAAATGTCTCCATAATAGCAAAAGGATCCAGTGTAAAAATATTGTTGTTTTTAGTTGTCATATCTCTTTAGTTTCCTTCCTTCTGAAATATTTTCTCAGATTTCCCTTATTTTTCATGAACCTGACACTTTCAAAGATTATAGGCTAATTATTTTGTAGAGTGTCCTTCAGATTGTTTGGCATTTCCTCAGGTTATGTATCTTTGGTAGAAATATTAGAGAAGTAATAGTCTTCTCATTGTATCCTATCAAGTAATATACTGTAAGGCTGGCCAAAAGACCCCCCCAGGCGCAGCAACGACAGCCCCGGGCCCCTTCCCTGCTGGCTTGCAGCCAGGGCCAGGCCACATCCTGTTATGACTGGCAAGAACAGCTACTCTGGCTGAGCACCCTGAGCTCGGTTTCCCGCTCTGCCCAGCTGCTGCAGGCAAAGCTCTCAGGCTTCGAATGACCACATCCTACCTGAATGTTCCAAGACCCCCCTTTTCACCCCACATATAAAAACCCTGCCTCAGTCCCGGACAGCGCGACTTCTCAGGCCCTGACCTTAGGACCTGTGAACCTCGCCCAGGAGCGCTTTAATAAAGCCACTTGTTTGGCCATAACTTGTGTCCGCTGGTCTCTCCGCCACCGAAACCTTACATATACAATCTCGATATGTCTCATGGCTGATGATGTTTACCTTGACCGCCTAATTAAGGTTGTGTCAGCCAGGCCTATCAACTGCACAATTACTCTTTTAATATATAATCAATAAGTGTATTAATTGTATTGAATAAGTATATTATGGGGAATTACTTTGGAGCCATGTAAATAAATATCTGATTTCTTAATAAAATTTCCATTTATACATTTATATACATATGGGTTCACGGTTTCCTATTTTATTCAGGGTTTTTTTTTTTTTTTGAGACAGGATCTTCTTCTGTTTCCCAGGCTAGAGTGCAGTGGCCTCATCATATTTAATAGCTCACTGCAACCTTGAACTCCTGGGTTCGAGTGATGCTCCTGCCTCAGCCTCCTGAGTAGCTGAGACTTCAGGTGCACACTACCACACCTGGCTAATTTTTCTATTTTTATATTATTTTTTTGTAGAGATGGGGTCTTGCTCTTGCTCAGGCTGGTCTAAAACTTCTGGCCTCAAGCGATTCTCCCACCTCAGCCTCCCAAAGTGCTAGGATTTCAGGCTTGAGCCACGTGCCCTGCTATCAGTATTTATTTTGATGCTTAATTTGTCCCAGATTTGGCCAGTGGAAGTCCCTTTGAGCTAACTCCTTTGTCCTTTTGACAGGTTCCTCATCATTCCTGTACATTTCCTTGCTTTTTGGCATACCAAGGTGCTCCAGTCCTGTAGTAAACCACTTCTCCAAAGAATCCTGGATCATTTTAGTGGAGAATGGTATTCAGAAGCCATAGTCTGGGGACTAGGTGTACTCATTATCATTGGTGTATTGCTGCTCCTTGATCCTGTCAGTGGACAGAGGTAAGGCACCATTATACCCCATGCTAGATCACCTCTTCTTACTCTGATTGGGCTCTAACAGTCCAAAATGGGCTACTCCTCCTTGGGTGAACCTTCCTTACCCCAATCAGGCTTTGGCTTCTCAGTCTGGAATGGCTCTCTGTAGACAACCTCCTCACCCTGCTCAAGCTCTGATATTCCACACCAGGCTGCCACTCTGCAAGGATATCTGCATCACCCTGCGTAGACTATGATACTCTGTGATGGGGTGCTGCTCTGCTGGGATGTGCTTTTTACCCCATTTGGGTTCTACTCCCCACACTTGGCAGCTCTCCGATAGTGGATGCTCTCCTTATTCCTTTTGTTCCAACATTCCATTCTGGGCCACCATAGCCTTCCCATCCCAGGTGCAGATGCCTATCTTGTTTTGCATCTCCTAATTGCATTAGGCCTGAACTGTTCAGGAAGGGGAGGGGGAAAGGAGGGGGTGTGGGAGAGGGGAAAGGCAGAAGGAATTATTATTCTTTTTGAGCCTCCAATTTTCACAACTCTGGCCACTGATTGATCTTTCATAATATTGTTTTGTTTTGTTTTGGTTTGGTTTTGCTTTTATCCTTTTGATATTGCTCCACAAATCTTTGAAAGCTTCTTTTGTTTTCTGGCACAAATAAGATGGTCCAGACTTATCTTGTAATTGCCATGAACCAGACCTTGATTCAGCCATTTCTCTGAGGAGACCTGTGCTCTTCTGTTCATTGTTAATGGGTAACAATATTAGACACCACAATCTGGGTGATAGAAAACCATATGTTAGTAAGGAGACATTCCTTCTAGTCCATTTTGGTAGAGAGCATTCAAAGATACACATTACAAATAATTATTTCATATTAGTATTTACCATTGAGTTTTTTTTTTTTGAGACAGAGTCTCACTGTGTCGCCCGGGCTAGAGTGCCG